AGCTGGGCGATGACGGTAAGGGCGGCGGGTGAGGCGGCCCGTGCGCTGAAGTGCTTACGAGGAAGCTGCGAAGGTCAAGTGTAGGTTAAACCCTGGTCGTTCCCCTCCTTCCTTGCTTTTAACGGGTTTTTTTGCCGGTTTTGTTGCGTTGCGCTCCATCTGTGCAAAGCCGTTTACAGGCTTGTGGACACGTCAGCCCGTGTTTGCGTTTTGCAGGTATCTCGGCATCTCATTAAGGGTTAATTACTGGCAGCGAGACCCTGGCTCTGTGACAGACCTTAGGAAGGCATTTCAGCGTTGTCTTTTCGGGGTTGTACATATGTACACGTACACGATTGTACATGCGTGTGCGTGTGGAGGCGGTGCTGATGTCTGGCTCATCCCTGAGGGATCTGTTCTGTGAACTGAGGGGTTACAGTGCAGAGGTGGACTCCTGCCCTGGTCCTTTGAGAGGCATTTCTTTTTTAGTATAAAAGACTGTCTTTAATGGTCTTTATTTAATTGATGCCACCGATAGCCTTCTGTAATGGGCAGGTAACTCAGAGTGTGTTTGGCGTACAGGCGGTCTCCAGTAAGCCGGTTCATCTTGTCCTGTGGTGAGGTTCTCACAGCTCTTGGACATCTACTGTAGATGAGTAACACTGAGAAAACGAACCTAAAGTAGTAGTATTTGATTTGCTCTCTAGCCAGGCTGTGTGCCAGGGTTTTGTAACGTTTGACATGTTCAGGCACTTCCTTACATTTAATGCAAAGAGACATACTTGCAGGAGAGGAAGAGCCTTAAAGCTAAAATACAGGTAACAACTGAAAGGTTTCACGTGATTTGGGGGGTGTGTTAATCTTGGAGAGAAATGAGAGTGGTTTTGATCTTGTGCTCCATGTTATGCTACTGAATCACACTTTATGATCTGTATTGTACTGTATTTTAACCTGTTTAATACGTAAGATAATTCTGCATTAAAAATACAAGGCAAAATGATAAGTTACTGCCTTTTTGTTTGGTTGTAGTGGTTGAAAAATTTGACTACGTTTTTCCAGAAAACGGTCTTGTAGCATACAAAGATGGGAAATTCTTGGGCAAGCAGGTAAGTGTGAAATTTCCAGTAATGTGAAAGAGACGTTTTCTAAACAAGATTTTGCTTTGTTGCTACACTGCAGTCCTCCATAGTCGCTCTCCTAAGGGCAAAATTGCTGCTGTTTTCGTGTGTTACTTCTGTAACAGATCATTCATTTGTCGCTCTGAATAACGCGATGACAATATTTCCCTTAAGCTTTATTCTTTGGGGTATTCCCAAAACTGAAAGTTACTGCAGTCTGGAGTGCCTGATTGAATAAGAACTGTGCAAATCCTGGAACAGCCTTTCCCTCAGCTTATCCGTAGGAAACGTGGCCAAGCCCTCCTGGGGGTCCTGTGGATGTGGCATTTCATAGCTGATGTCTGTTGGGCCTCAGGGTTCAGAAATTTTCTTGTAGGTCTCTCATAGCTGCTTTGTAGTATTAATTCAGAGTGCGCATTCTGATACGCTGCATAAGCTAGAAGGTAAAGATACCCTAACCACCTTCATTGGTTAAACATAAGTAACGGAGACTAAAATTCTGAAAGAGATCCTGGCTGAAATTGCCAACAGGAGCAGTGGTTTCCAGTTTACTGTAGTAACAACCTCTGTTTCTTCACACTTGGCTACAGTAGATGTTAACTGCAACTTTTTGTTTAGTTTTGCTGTCTTTGGCCCACACTGTTTCCTTCTAAAGCAGGTAGTAGGGAGCATGTTAAATGAGAGCTTGGTATTATGGTTTAAAACAAAAAAAACAACACAAGAAGAAAAATGAGAGCCATTAGTTAGTACACATGTGCATCAGCTGAGAGTTAGTTATTGGAGCCATGTTTCTTTGTGGTGTTAACCATACCCAATTATCCAATGTCTGTGTTTTCCATGTGACTTGTTTTTAGAATCTCAAATTCTGGATCCTTGGTTGAATGGTATTTGTTTTGTTAGAACATTCAGGGTTACCTGGGTGAGGACATACTTCAAGATCTAATCAACTACTGCCTGAGTTATATTGCAAAGATTAAACTGCCAAAGAAAAGGTATGTGCATACACACATCTCAGTGTCACTACATTCTCCATGCTATAGTGTTGAGCATAAATACGTAAAGCAGTCTGCTCAGCAAAAAATGAGTAATTTGTGGTTTAGGAACACTGTATACATGAAACAGAGCTCAGCCCGTGCATACAAAGACAAGGTCCCAGCTGAAGCACAGATTTGACATACTGATTGAGCATTTTTAAGAGGGAAGGAACTTCAGTTTGGAAATAGGAGTATTTCCTTGACATGTTTGGAACTCAGCAGCATAATGCTTTCCAGAGATTAGAAGCGTGCAGTAAGATGAGTTCTGTCAGATGTGTGAGGGTGCAGCTGCTTGAGACATTAATACGTACCATACATGAGGCTAGATAGAAACACTGCCAAGATTGCTCTAAATCTTGTCCCTTTGCCCCAAAGCTGTCAGACTGGCCTGTCAGGGTCTGAGGGTTGAGTTGGCAGGATGCTCCAGTTATACTTTTAAAACCAAATCATACTTTTAAAAGTCAGTAAGGATGATGTTGAGGTTGCCAGATTCAAATAAAAGTCCAAAAGACTCCTTGATGCCAGAGGTATTGGTTGCTACCCGTTGTTCTCATGCATATAATGAGAGGCTGAAGGAGACATCCGACTCTCATTGTCTTCAGAGTTAAACAAAATTTCTTTGTGGTATTCAGTATTTTGAGGAATTTTTCATCTATTTTCTGTTTCATTAATCAATTCTTTTTCAGGGGCACTTTTATTGAGTTCCGAAATGGGATGTTAAATGTGTCTCCGATTGGAAGAAGCTGCAGCCAGGAAGAAAGAGTTGAGTTCTATGAACTTGATAAAGTGAGTTACAACTCTTGAAAAATATCCAACTCTTCTGGAAGAGGCAGTTATGGGTTGGTTATGATTATTAAAAAGCTTTTATACTTTGTGCAATTTTTTTTCATTTTAATTCTTTCCATGTGGCTTAACTAACCTCTTAGTTCAGACTTGAGGAAATACACAATAGGGGTTTTTGTTGCAATAGTTAACAATGATTACTTGCAGAAGGGGTGGGTTTGGCTCATGTTTCTTTTAACCCTGTATCCAGAGTACCGAACATCCTACCTCTACACACAGGGTTCCTGAAAAACGCTGTCATAGATAAAACTGTACTAATCTGGAGTGCTTTTTAGTATTCCAGGCTATATCCATTCAAATCAATAAAACTATTGCTTTTCTTGTCAACTCTTTAAAGCCTTTTCAAGCAGAATTTAAAAGCTGAGGTCAAACTATTCACCATTTATTTTCCTTTGTACACAGTTGAATGTGCAGGCTGAAACAAATCAGAGCCATGGTATCAGAGTTCTGTTCCCTGCTACACTGTAACAACTGTTTCTGACCTGATACAAAAACTGAAGTCTAATTTCTCAAAAGCGGTCTGTGCCTGCAACTCAGTTAATGGATGCAGAAAGACATCTAAGCCCAAGGCATTCTGAAACTCCTTTTTGGAGTATCACAAGATTAGTACCAGTTTTGAGA